CGATATAGAAATTTGGTTTGATTTGATATAGAAATTGATACAGATATATATGATATTTGATATAGAAATATTGATTTAGAATATTATATAATTTCTATATTATAGAGCACATTTAATATGGAAATTTGATATAGAAATATTGATTTAGAATATTGTTTTTAAATATATTTCTATACTATAGAATATAATTTAGGACACAATTGATATAGAAATTTGATGCGATATGATATAGGAATATATTTAATATACAAATATTTGGTATTTGAGATACAAATATTGATTTAAATTTCTGTAGATTGATTTTAAAGATTCTATTTCTACTATTAATATCTACATTGTGGACATTTAAAGATAATGATTGAAGCTAGGAATATTAATATAAGTATCCAAGTATTTAAACGAAGATTATATAATTTTACACTGAAATATTAATTTAGACTCTATGTCTGATTTCAAAAGACTTTATTTCTAATAATTGGGAATAAGAAGTACCAAAGTTTTAAGTAATGAAATTTTCGAAGAAGATTACGAAGATTGCATTATTCGATACAAAAATGTTAATTCAGATTTTCATAGATGTTGGTTTCATTGTCGATAATGAAAATGATAACAATTAAGAACGAAACGTTTAATTAAGTGGTAAAAATTTTCGAAGGGATTATTTTAAGAGACAAGAGTTAATTAAAAAAGAAGAGATACTATCTCAGTTTTAAAGATACTCTTAATAGATGCTATCTAGTTTCAAATCAGATTCTCGTCGAAATTACCGGAGAGATTATTAAATTATTACTTACACCTGTAGAATTCAAATGCAGTATCTTTACCAAACTAGGTATGTCTGGAACTATTAAAAAAAGAACTGAGCTATCGAGTTATCCATTGGATTACAGAGTTTTATTCAGTTATCGTTACATACAATCCATATAAATATACACGGATCAAACTATCAATTCCTGTCGAACGTTATCGAATCTGGATTAAGTAAAATTCCCAATATCACAGGATCTAACATTCAGACAAAACTCGACGTTTCGTGCTACACCTTTTAATCTTCTAAACCCGGTCTGACCATTTAAAATTCGACATTTCGTACAACTATTCTTTTCAACTTATATATATATATATATATATA